CTGTTCTTTACATTTGGCCAATGAACTTGAAAACGCAGGAAAGAAAAATATTTTGGGTAAACCAAAACAAAAATATTTTTCTAGGATTGGAAAACCAAAACCATTTATTTTTCCTTCAAAATAATAAAAAAAAAAAAAACAACAAACTGGTTTTATAACATTTTTCTTTTTTTCTCCAATAGAAAGTTTTGCAAAATTGAGCTCAAATTCATAAATACAGTTAGCTGCTTTCCAGTAAATAAACTAATTACAAAAATAACTACCCAACCCTATTTTGCAATAGCTAAAGAGTGAAAATCAATGAAATGCAGAAGGGCTGAAACTCTGAAGCTAGCTGCCTTTCGTGCTATGCAATCTTACCACAAGAAGACCTTGCCCCCACTCCCTGTTGAGCAATCACTGCAGGGAAGCAATTTCCCTGATTAGTGAAGTGCCATGCACATTCATAGATCTGCATAAGTGCTTACTAAGAGCAAGGAAAATCATATATGACAGCAAAGGCCATACTTTATTTCAGTACAAAAAGGGACTTCAACACAAAGTTCATGTCTCTGGACTGAACGCATTTGAGCCTGAGCAGGTTGTTCACTGTGGGACACCTCTGCTGGTCAGCAACATGTGAGTGGAGTTTGGTTTGCTGTGTGTAAGCGCAGTTGGCTTCCCCAGCCTTACTCCTGACAAACCCCACACTAAGACCCAAGGAGCAGCATTTCCTAAGTTAGTCATCAAAACAGTTTTGCCTCTTTTTTCTGGCTTTTACTCTAGGTTATTCTTTCTTAATTGCACTTGTTTCCATGACAGCTAGGGCCATAAAAACAAAACCCCTTAAAATACCAACTTGATTAACTTATTATCAAATGATAGCAATCTGAGTGCTTCTGCAGTGATAAGCCCTCTCCTAACACAGAAACCCTTGCCCTGTAACCTGTGGTCCAAATCCAACCCAGAGGAAAATCCACCACCCTGCCACCCCTAATGACCATGCAGCAGCAGAGGGACTGAAGACAGATCATCTGCTGTTCCCAAAGACTGCCTGTATTTGGAGCAAGTTGCTGCTGGCTCAGCTAATAGAACCTCAACATCAACACTGCTACGTGCCAATCACCATGATGTCTGGGCTGCATATGCTTAATAGCCACTGATTTGAGAAACTGATTATCTAATTGCTCGGTCATGTTGGCTTTGACCTCGCGCTTGCCCTAAATCGCTCAGACCTTGATGTTGCTTGCACTCTCTAGAAATAGCCAGGCTGCCTGTCCACACAAGGAAGAGCAAGCACAGCGTAAGTGGTGTCAGGGACTTGTGCTTTTGACCCTGAAGGCAATATGGGTTCACTTGAGTCTGTAAAATGGAGCCTGAATACATACAGCTGCTACAGAGGGGGAGTTCTGTTTCTCGAGCTGTACTAGTGACAATACACTGCAAAAGTGACCTGGGAGCTTAAAACTCTCCAAAGCAGGAATCATCTCCCTTCTGTGCAAACGGTACAGTGGAGTCAAACCCAATTAACGTTTTTAGGAGCAATTTGCTACTGCTGCTTTTGCTAGAGCTCGTACACTGAATTGCTCATGTCTGCCAGAGAAAACCACAGAAAAACCACAGAACTTCAGTTTATCTCCTCTGACATCTCTGAGAAACAGAGCTGCTATGTGCTCCCTGATCTCTCAACACGCCTTATCAGGACAAAAACCAAACACAAAACATAACTCTTGGTGACTGCTGTGATGGATGTCCCCATGCGGGCTGTCCCCAAGGATGTCGGCAGAGACAGCTCAGGGGGCTGCTGTGGGGGAGCCACCTGCAGCCTGCCCCAGCCCAGCCTGCAGTGCCCGGGGCAAGAAGGAGTATCTGTGTCCCCTTCTGTGCTGTGACAGCCACAAGAGTGCTGGCAAGACCTTCTCTATCTAAGAAAAAAGGGTAAACCCATGTGCCTGAATCCAAGCGCTGATCTCTACCTAGGGGCCTCCTCATAATGCCTCTGACTAACTGGGCTGTGACACCCACATGAGAGAAATCCATTTTTCCCTTGGAGCAGTTGTTCCCCAATGCTCAGACTTACTAATACTGCAACTGAAGCACAGGCTAGGATGTAAAATGCCCTTTTCAGCCCTTGGCTGAGAATGAGGATGCTTATTTTTTCAAGTTCATGTCTAAAATTCTTCAGCAGTTGAAGGAGGCCACAAGACAGACGCAGTTGGTTTAGTACAGTCCTAAGGAAGACAAAGAGAATGGGGAACAGAAGAGCGACGTTGAAGAGAAGGACAGCTGTGAGTGAGGAGGCAAACTGGAGGACATGGGCCAGTTCAAAGCCTTTGTCCGGCTTTGAACCAATCCAAGTATAGCTCAGGCAAATCATGAGCTACTGCAGCACTACTTGGATATTCTATAGGCTAAGGGCAAAGACATTGCCTAAGCAACACTCACCACTTAATCTGTCTGATATTTTTGCTTTTCGATTGCACAGGACCTGGACAATTGCATTGAGCAAATAGGATGAAGCAACAAAGAAACTGGGGAGGCCAATTAAGCTGCTCTATTTTGCTGATCCTCGGAGGAGCTCTGGTTCAGCTATTTGTATCAATATCTTTCCCAACATATGGTCCAAGTCTTGCCTGCAGAGCAGCATGACAGGAATTCATCTAAAGACTACTCAGGGTGTAGGTGTTGCTGACAAACATACGCCACGCTGTTTCTTCTCTCCCCAAGACAAATGTAATATACGTGGTTATCTCACTGAGGCAAGTTAAGATTGAAAACCAGCCTACTACTGAAGGCTGAATCTTGATTTATTTACAGTGATATTTGCTATCCTGGCTGCATTCGTGTCACATGATCTCAGAATTGCAGTCTGTCATGGACTTCGGGTTTATCCTTTTTCTCTTTTCCATCTGTGACCTTTAGATGCGTTGTAAATAAACTCTTACCTTCCGACAACTCTTCCTCTGCTTGAAACATCTGCAAGACAGTATTTCTGTAAGTGGCATTTTATTACCTCCTTAGATAATTTTAAAGGAGTAAAAGAGCTGCCGAGCCTACTGTCTCTGCAACCCTTGCATGATGTGGATGCAAGTAGAGATTGTTATTTTTCACATTTTCTGGATTCAGTGTTGTATCTCCACCTAAATCTTCCGGGTGGAAAGAAACCTACTCTTCCTTCCCAGTACTATTTGAGAGTCGCACATATGCCTTAAGGTTAACCTTGTACCATGGTTTGTTTCTCTTTCTCTTTGACAGAGAGGACCAATTCAATAAGCTGCTTAAGATGAAGCAACACATTGGTATCCAAGTCCATGCTAAACACTTACTTACTAATTCTTATAACTTGTTTTAATCAGTGCCCTATGAGGATGTTCTCTGAGGATTCCTGGAATAGGCAAATTATTGGCACAACAGATCTAATAAAAGCCTGTTAAAGACCTAATGAATGGCACCCACTGCTGGCACTCACTGCTGCAGAAAACCATTGAGAATAGAATATTTAGCTGTTATTTTGTCATAAATCAGTAGAAGTACTCCAGAGTTAAACTTCAATGCTTTTCAAGCAGCTAAAAGACTTCTCTAGGGAATATTCAATCCCCTTTGAAGAGAGCCCTGTTTCACAGAACCCCATTTAGTTTTCAGTGAGAATTTTCTCAGTTATTTTGATTAACGTATCTTGAAAGAAATTTTTGGTTTATAAAGCAACAATTACCAATAATCATCTTCAGCTTGGAATGTGTTACAGAAGTTGGAGAGTGACAGTAGAAAAAGCCCTTATGAGACTGATAGAGCGCTTCCAGCAAAACCGTATATGTGAAAAGGACCATACTAGCAATATGAGACATGAAGAGGTTCATGACAACCAGGAGCTCTGACTACATAGGCATTCATTATGGAAACACAGGTAAAAGAGAAAGCAGTGGAAAGGGTTAAGGGCATTTATGGAGAAAGACCATCCAAGGAGTTTTGTTGTACCTCCTCCCCTTCTCCCAGGAACAACCACTAGGAAATAAAGTATATTAATGAGTATATATAATGACCTCCCCTGGAAAATGGAAATGCCTAAATTCCCTAGAACTCACCTGGGAAGCAGCAGGTGATGACTGAATTGCATTCACAGTCACAGTGGGTTTCCAAACATGCCCACCTGCTCCCAGGTCTGTCTCCGGCCCATGCTTAGCAGATGTAACCACATCCCTGCATTGCCTCAGATGTGCTGCAGGAGGGCAAGGCCATGCAGACAAGGACACAGCTCTGCTCAGCTGCTTCCTCCCGTCCTTTTGCTCTCGCCTCCATGCGCTGCAAGCAGGAGCTGCTGCTCTTTAGACACTGCTTCCCTGCACAGCACCCCGTAGTTCAAGGAGCTCTCACAGCTTATTTAGTAGCTTCTTTCTTTCCCTTTGCCTGTTTGTACAGCCTGGAGCAGCAGAAGTGCTGTTGCAGCTGCTGAGGGCTCAACTGAGTGCAATAGACCCATGAAAAGCCTGAGGAGCTCCTCCAGGCTGAACTCTACAGTGTTGGTAGTAGCAACAGTACAGGGAACAGATGGGCCAGCTGGTCTTCAGAAACTACAGTCGCACTCTAAACTACGGCACGGGTATGCTTCCTAGTGTGCCGGGAGTCAGAAGTCATTATCAGCTTAGTGCTTATTTTGGTTATTGCAGCAGTGTGTTGTTGAGACTTCTGTAGCCTGGTGACAAGTTACAACATAAAGAATTCCTTTCACAAAACCCGTGATCCCGTGGTGTCCTCAGTCCATCGCTGGAAGGCAGCCAGCACCATCAGGCAGCGCTACAGCTTTGTCATTTCTGTAAAGCATCCATAAAACATGCACCTTATTAAGTGCTTGGAAACTAATCCTAGTTTAAATTTAAATTGATTGTTGAACAAAGAAGCAGCAATTTGCTGTTGGGGACTGTTTTATTTTCTTTTCACCATAGGAAGATGGGGGTAGGAAAACATTCACCCAAGTTGTAACCAAGTAAATGAAATGCATTCAATTAGCTAATGGAGTGTCTCACAAAAGCTTGCACTATTAGAAAATTAAATTAGTTCTTCCTAATATGCTGAGATTCTTTAAGCCATTAACACTTTTTTTTTTTTTTTAGAAACTGAAATATTCAGGGGATTAGTTTTCACTCAAGGCTTTTTGCTTTCTCTACCATACCTTTCAGTCCCGATTCTCTTCAGTCCTATAATCAGTGCTAATTTGTGAAAAGCCTTTCTAAGCTAAATAACTCTGGTGCAGCTCATGAGTACAAAGAACATATTTCAGATTTTTTCTAATAGAACAGGGTGTTCTCAGAGGTCAGTTTCACAAGCTATTATATGATTTAGTACCGCTGGTTACAGAAGACTAGACTCAAGCATGTTCACTGGTGGCTTCTTAAGACTTTTTACAGCAAAACAACTGAAAATGTAAGTATTTTGAATTTGTGGTTCTGCCCTTGCAATGTTATTCTGGATGAGCCCCATCCAGCTTACGTTCGATTATTTAACAGCAGTATGGGGGCAGCTACACAGTGGCCAGACATACCTCCTTGGTGCACTACCACAGCGGTGTACTCCGTGTGGTGTGGTGGCAGAGACTTTCCATTCCCTTCATGCTGTCCTGGTTCAGGTGCTGCAGGGTCTGTGGTTAGGAAATGCAGAACAAGATCAGTCATGACTTCATAACCCCACCTAGACCTTGCTGAAGAGACAGCAGGGGCAGGGACAAGGAGTTTTCCTGTGAGTACATACCTATTAGTACACATACTTTCAGAGTGTCCTCCTTCCTCTTTACAAGTGTATCTGATCTCACCCAAATCACGAGGTGGAGGGTTCAAGGTGCCCCCCAGCTGAGCTAAAGCTGAGGCTGGAGGAAAGATCAGTGCCCCGTTCTGCCTGTTCTCAGTGGAGAGGAACCAATCTGTCCCATGGAAAAACCCAGAGTATGCGTTACAGATAGCTTAACAGTAGAAAGCACAAAGATCCTGGGCAGGAGGGTCAGGTTTGAAAGAGAGTCAGCTACAGACATAAAGGCACTTTTCAACAAAAGTATTTCTTTTCCAGGCAAGCAAAAGAGTCAGGTACATATGGAGATCCATTATATTGATAGTCATGTGCTTAAAACTGAGCGCTTTGCTGGATGAGATCTGACATGCCCTTATGTAAGCAAATTATTTTTATCTGCTTCTAGCCTAATAGAGACTTGAATATTTTGAGAACTCATAGGTCTCATTGCTATGGAAACTAACTCCGTATCTTTAGGTCAGTCTTGTTATTTCTGATTTGCAGAGTTCACATCTAACCTTAAAAAAATAAAAATTAAGAAAAAAAAACAAAGAAAAAGAAAAAAAAAGGAAAGAAAGAAGGAAAGAAAGGTGTATTTGCTCTTTCAGTCCCACTGCCAACTATGCTTTGTCTCACTTCTGCAGTCAAAAGCAGAGTCCAACACACATTGCAATAGCAGCAGTCCAAAGCCAGGTTACTGGTTTAAATGAGACAATGAGAAGTGAGGGGAGTTATACAGATAGTACTGACAATCAACATAGGAGCATCAGCAGGCAAGCCAGCCTCATCCGGGGATAGACCACCCCACAGGGAAAGTCGGCCTCATACAGCTGTCCTCTTGTTTCTCTCTTGATTGGGTGAGTGAGCCAAAATGCTCACCAATGCTCTAAATGTGAACAACTCTTTTCTGATCCATGGATTGACAAGTGGAAGGATTTACCACTGCACGGACACGGAGCACTGCTGCCACAGGGGTGACGGATCTGGTACCATCTCAGTAAAACAGACTGGCCTCATCTTATGTCAGGACATCTGCCTTATTGCAAAATTTGGGTTTTTTCCTCTCCCTCCCAACTTTTCTCCTTCTCCACATCTTCAGTGGATCAGTGACATTCCCAGGATAATACGAGAGAGGCAGACATCCCTGTAAGGAAACTGGTTGACACACCTCGGTTTCTTCATAGCACTGATAGAGCTATGAGGTAACTGCATTTCTTTGGTATGCTTTTTCTCAGTCACTTTGTATATTGGAAGAAAAAACTTTAACTTTTTCAGAGGCAGTTCAAGGACCAATAGCAGTCTGTAGTTCCTGGCCTCCAAAGACTTTAGTGCATAATTAAAGTCACAGAGACTTCAGGTCCAGAATTTCTTTAAATTACTGGAATTTTACTGCTTTAGTAACAGAAGAAGTTTTTCTGTTTTTCTTATCCTAACAAAAAGTTGTCTTTTCACTGACAGAAAGGCTGTTTACCCCCCCCCAAAAAAAAAAAGAATTATTTAAGTTGTGATATGTACCTACACTTTTGCTCAGAAAATGTAGTACTGTACAGGATGTATTGTAAATTCTACTGCAAAAATATAGTCTTTTGGCACAAACGGTAAATCTACCAGGAAGGCAGTGCCTGCCAGTAAAAAGGAAACATTTTCCTTCAAAATGCTAACACCTATTTTTTTTCCCCAGAAAATTAAGCTTGTATTCCTATTAAACTGGTGCAGCTCCTTTTTCTGGATGTTTCCCGCAATGAGTGAAATCACTATCTCGCTGTGCTCCCTTTTTATGCAATCCAAATGTTAAATATATAAGATCATAGTCGAGCACTGAAACTTTTGGAGATTGAGGATTATGTAATAGTGGAAAATGAGGAGAAGAAAGCGTCTTTTAAAAGTGGAAGGGAATTCAGCTTCAACCGACTGGAAAAATCCTTAATTCTTCTGTGTGGCAGTGACACACTCTCTGCTCTCTGGCATATTACCCCATAAAGGAATGCAACATGAACCAGTAGCTAAACTAGGACAGATGTTGCTGGAAATATTTAAAAGACGTTTACTTTATAGTATTAGTGATCAAATATGCAATGTTCTTGGATATGTCATCCTCATGACTTCCCACAAGACACAATATTTCCCTTGCTGGAAAAAAGCAAATAATTAAGTTGTAGTCAGCTTTTAGTAACTGAGATATTTTGGACTGGTGATGTTGGTGCTTAAATATCCACCATCACCACCATCCCACAGGCAAACCACTTCTCCGGGCTTGCTCCCCTTATTTCCTCAACACCGTAAAAATGCTTCCCCCAACTCCCAGTCATGCTTTCTCAGCCCAGCACTGGTATTTTTCCCAGTGATTTTCCAATGAAGAACTTCCATACGCAGCTCCTTGGAGCAAGCTGTCCCTTCCTCCCACAGCCACCACTCAGAATAACTTGTTTCTTACTGTCATTTACTGGGTGAGTCTCACTGGGCTTAAGAAGTTAAAAGGGACTTTCCTGAGTGGGGTGTGGAACCGACCAACACAGAGTTTTCCTTCACAAATGTTTCAGCCACTACAGTAAAACTGCTGGAACCTTGTCTGAGGGCATGCTTGTAGTGATACATATATAAAATAAAACTAAAAATCACTGCGGTTAATATGCCCCTGTAAAGTTAAAGCTGATTTAAGACTTCCTACAGTCAAAGTTGCCTTAATATAATGACCTTTAACTAATCAGCTGTCAGTTGGCTGTGGAATGTACCCAAATCCTCTTTAATAGAAATAAAAATAGTGACCAGCTGCAAACAAAGGGATATGTGAACTCTGCCTTCTTTTTTTTTTACTCTCTCAAACCTCCCACCCCTTCAGAACCAAAACAGACCCTACTGCACTAAAGCACAGCCAGCATAGAAGAATCCTAGAATACTTTAGGCTGGAAAAGATCCTTAAAATCCTCCAGTCCAACCGCTAACCTACCACTGCCAAGTCCACCACTAAACCACGTCCCTAAGTGCCATATCTACATGTCTTTTAAATACCCCCAAGGTTGGTGACTCAAACACTTCACCGGCCAGCCTGTTCCAGTGCTTGACAACTCTTTACATGAAGAAATTTTCCTAACATCCAAACTAAACCTCCCCTGGCACAACTTGAGGTCATTTCCTCTTGTCCTATCGCTTGCTATCTGAGAGAAGAGACTGACCGTCACCTCACTATAACCTCCTTCCAGGTAGCTGCCGAGAGTGGTAAGTTCTCCCCTCAGCCTATTTTCTCCAGACTAAACAACCCCAGTTCCCTCAGCCATTCCTCATCAGACTTGTGCTCCAGACCCCTCATCAGTTTCATTGCCCTTTTCTGGACACACTCCAGCACCTCAATGTGTCTCTTCTAGTGAGGGGCCCAGAACTGAACACAGGATTCGACGTGCAGCCTCACCAGTGCCCAGTACAGCCGGATGATCACTGCCCTGGTCCTGCTGGCCACACTATTGCTAATACAAGCCAGGATGCCACTGGCCTTCTTGCCTGCCTGGGCCCAATCTGGCTCATGTTCAGCTGCTATTGAACAACACTCCCAACTCCTGTTCCATCAGGCAGATTTCCAGCCACTCTTCCCCCAGCCTGTACCATTGCATGGGGTTGTTGTGACCAAGGTACAGGATGCAGCACTGACCCTTGCTGAACCTCCTACAGCTGGCCTTTACCCATCAAACCAGCCTGCCCAGATCTCCCTGTAGAACCTTCCTGCCCTCAAACAGATCAGCACTCCTGCTCAACTTGGTGTCATCTGCAAACTTACGGGGGATGCACTCGATCCCCTTGTCCCAGTCACTGATAAAGACATTAAACAGAACCGGCCCCAGTACTGAGCCCTGGTGAACACCACTTGTGACCAGCCGCCAGCTGGATTTAACTCCATCCACCATCACTCAGCCAGACTTTTACCCAGTGAACAGTACACCCATCCAAGCCATGAGCAGCCACTTTCTCCAGGAGAATGCTGTGGGAAACGCTGTCAAAGGCTTTACTAAAGTCTAGGTAAGAGAACACCCACAGCCTTTCCCTCACCCACTAAGCAGGTCACCTTGTCAAGGACATAAGGTTAGACAAGCAGTTCGTGTCTTTCATAAGCCCATGCTGACTGAGTCTGATCACCTGGCTGTTCTGTATGTGCTGCAAACCTTTCTTCATGGTCTCCTTACTGCTTCCCCCCACTGCCCACCCTGTGCTTCATCACTTGCCTGACACAAGCATCATCCTGGTTGCTCCTAGAGAACTGTGGCTTCTTCAGTTCCTCTGAATAGCCACAGCCATGTCTCCCTGGGGAAGCTGGATCAAATCCCTTTTTTTGTAAGGAATAATGACACACACCACATTCTTGAAGCCAAGAAAGCAAAAAATTATCTTCCCCATTTCATCCTTATCACATAGCCCCAAGTTATTGAACGATTCTTTGGTTTCTCAGCTTCCATCTACCCTCATTTTGGTTCCCTACCCATTGCTCAATCACCTCCAGCTGCTGGGCCACCAGAGCTGGTGCTGCAGAGCAAGAGTGTCATGTGGGGCTGTGGCTGCAGGGAGGGGAAGTTCATGGGCCACAGCTGGACCTCGTGAGTTTACTGCATGAGGGAATCACCCTTTGTCACAGCAATCGGTTTTGTTCCTCAGTTCCTCAACCTTCTTCCTCTTTTTCCTCCCACTTTTGGTCTGCTTTCCCACACTGGCATGAAACTGGAGTAGCCAGAAAGACAGCTGCTCACATTTCCCGGCTACCTCTCCTGCACATCCATCTTTTATGGGGATTGAACATTTTTGCCTTGTTGTGGGGTATTTTGGGCCCTCAGTGATGGCTGGTGAAGCAGGCTTGCTTTTAGAAGAGCTAAAGCTCTTCTTGCTGAGGTGGGAAGGTAAAATACTGGGGAGAGCTCTGTACACTGGCCAAGCAGCAAACCTTCCATAGGCTCCTACTTTTTAAATGCTCCTCTGCTAAATAGGTTGCTTTTAGATCATTTACAGAATGTTTCCCTGCCCTGAGGCTGTGGTATGGTCATACATTATTTTTCTCATCAGCCTGAGGGCACAGAAATTGATACAGCTCTTACACCACTGCAATACCATTGCCTTCAGGGGAATTACTTCCCATTAGAGCAGGTGAAATCAGAATGAATAAGTATGCCATTTCTCTGCTATTCACCGTTAGTGCTATAAAGCCTGCTGAAGTAGTCAGAGGAAACGGGAGATGGACTCTTGCTTTGCTCTTGTTTGGCACTGTTCTCAAGGGTATGACAGGATAAACTGTTCAGATACACCTAAAGAGCAACATAAGAACTTTTATGCGTATACTGCTTTCTGACACAGATCTCACTGGCGCATAAATCAGCACCTGCTTGCTTCTCCATGCAGTAGACCAGCTGTGGCAAACTGGCTGTGAGATGGACAGTGCAGGGCATCCTCTTCCTCACTGGGGACCACAAATGTTCTGACAGAGAGGAGAGGGGCCTGTAACAGAATAATTATCTGCTAGTTATTGCTACTATCATTTTGGAAATCCTTTTTTTTATTTTCTCTAGCTTTTTCTGCTGGGAATCAAAGCATTCAAGTCTTTCAGTCACCCACAGAGGGCTTTCATCTTCATCCTCATCAATGGGAAAACCCTGACACCCAGAAACCTTAAATTATTTGTCCTTTGTTATAAATGTGGTGAAGCTAGAGATAGTTCCTGGTTCCGCTTGAATATGTTTAACCACAACACCATCCTCCTTCCTTATTCCTTCCTCAACGTTCAATTTAGATGCAGACATAAGAAGGCAACAAATCAAAAGAAAACCTCAGGCCCAGATCCACCGTGAGTCAGCCACACAAAGCTGCCAAACTGTATCCAACCATCACACAGTTGCTTGTTGTAGGAAATGCTGGCAGTTGCCTCGCTATGCAGAGGTCAGTTATGACTGCATGCTCCCCGGATGGGCTGTGAGTTATTCTGGAAAAGGAAGAGAAAGGGTCTGTCAAAGCCAGGCACATTCTGGAGACACATCCTCATAAGCAGGCCCAGGAACCACCAACCCAAGCTATGTCCTAAGTGGATCTGAAGTCATAAACACCTTGGGGAGCCCCTGCTGTGTCCGTCTGGCTTTCAGTTTCCCTCTGCATGTACTAAGGGAATGATTACCTCAGTTTTTTAATCCAGAAGTTACTAATGACAGTCCTTATCCTCCCAGTGTTTGTTAATGTATTTTTCCTGGTATATTCCTTTTATGTAAGAAGGAATAACAAACGTCTCAATTATTAACATCTCACAGTTCTTTGTAATGAAGAGGTCATGTACATTCTCAGCAGCTTCTCCCTCCATGGATTCAAGCAAGGCTAGTGATAAGGCTATGGTGATACTCTTCTGAGATCTCCCTATGTATTTAGCTATATCTATCAAAGTGAGCGGCAGCAAAATAGTCTAAAACACAGACATGTTCAGAGGTGAAGGTGGTAGTTCCAGCTCGTAGCTGTCATGTCTCACTGTACATGGTGCTGTTCCCAATGGAGAAGTTAGTTTTCCTACCTTCACACTGTCAGCTGCACACTGATTAAATCTGGAAGGTTTTCTTTATGTACCAGACCTTGAATATATTATTGTTTTAAGAGATAAACTACAATTATTTCCTTGTCTGTGCCCCCTTGCTGATACCTTCTCAATGATGAACATATCTGCTATTTCTTTCCAAAATACATAGATTTTCTCTACCCTTCTCCCTCCCCTCCTCCAAGTTAGAAATGTCAGGAATTACAATTGCTGACACTGTGCTTGCTGCAGGAGTACTGGGAAGTGGGGCTTTGGTATAGGCAGAAATTTGACCTGCCGTTTTCTCAGCTGAGGGAAAGAGGATGTTGTCCCTTGCATAAAGGGGCTTCACAAAGAACTCACATAACCTGTTCAGCCGCTGCTGGTCTGTAGTTAGAGTTAAAATCACAAGCAAATGAGTAAGGATTTGCTTGGCTTGACTAGATGTTTCTACTTTAAAGGAAAAAAATGGAAACACTGCAGTTCGAGTTTCTCTCATTTCTCATGTCACTAACTCATGGCTTCAGGCTACCCTGCAGCAAAACTGGAAGTTGCCATCTAATATTTGCAGCAACTGATTTGCTCAGGCTACAAAAAAAAATCCTTTCACAGGTTTGCAGAGGAGAATAAAGTCAAAATCAGCTCAGTCCCTTTGTTCCCACTGCTGTTTTCACTGTTGCAAAAGGCAGTTCAATTTCACATAATCACAACAGCAAGCAGCTATAACAAAATACATTAAAACCACATTTGCTCAATAGAAGAATGCCATTTCACAAAAGGTCATGCTTTCAGTTTTGAGGAGGCTGCTAGTCACAAGCAAAATGCCAATATATCATATCACAAAGCATTGACTTCTCTGTTCCCTAGTTGCCTTTGCTATAAAAATGAGAAAAATCATATTTACCTACCTTCTCAGGTGATGAAATATTTGGTCATAAACTAAAAATACATACTACTGAATATTTATAACGAGGCACATGTGAAATAAGACATACAGTTCCATAAAGTGGATAACATATGGGAAATGCACTGTTAAGAGTCTTGCTGTGAAAAACAGTAATCTTGGAAAAAACAGGAACTATGGGGTTTAGCAGTTTACATAATTGTGCAAGTGTTCCACAGCATTTATTTAGAAGACAGCTACTTGATACTAAATTTTAAATACTTAAAGACAAACTGCCATTTCAGGGAGTTTCTCCTCTCCACCTAAATGACTGCAGTCATAGCAGTCAATCCAGCGATGCTGTGAAGGATACTGCCATAGATACACACCACTTTGGCATTATCTCATCCATAGCTCTGAAGTGCTATTTCCTATCATTTTAGTCTGCATCCTGTAAAGTTTCCAGCATCTTTGAAAGGTGATTTTTATGTTAGAGGAAAATTCACTTTTAACTCAGGGCTAAATTTATTACATTATTTAATCTGCAACCTCCTTTTGAATAGCAAAGCCTCAGTCTTTGTCCATTTGTCTCTTGGACACTTAGTTAATGGAAGAGGAAAATTTTGCTGATTGTATTGGCTAAATTTTGTCTTTTTAAAATGTTGTCCAATTAAAAAGATGAATACTCATCAGCCCAGATAGATGGGGAGAAATATAGTACTGCCTATTTTACCCATTCTTTCTTTGTCTGAAATGATATTCTAAAGTAAGTCAGGTTTTGGTATGTCAGGTGTCACAGGCAGAAGCACCTGTAATTATTATTCCTTTTTAAGGAACTATTTTTTTTGCAGTTTATGTATTTTCCATAGAAACCAACCAATTAAAATGGCTGATGGTGAATGGGCTGTCTCTTTTTTTTCTAAAGATTCAGCTATAATGGGAATGAAAAAGTACATTGCTTTCCTCTTATTATAAAAAACAAATAAGAGGAATGGGTTTCGTTAGTTCTTACACCTAGTAATTCCAGAAAGGACACTTGAAATTCCTCAAGTTTGCCAACTGACGAGTTCTGCAGTTTCCACCTGACCAAGCCTTACAGGTTGGGGCGAGCAGTTCATCATGCTCAGAAGCAATCTATAAGAATTTGTCAGCTACTTTCAGTGAATATCCCCAGCACTGCATGTGCTACGTGCCTTTTGAAAGGAGAAAAGACAGAAAAGATAAGAAGGTATGAAAATAACATGAAGTAAGAGAAGTTGGCTATGAAGATGGGGAAAAGGTAAGAGCAGAGGATCCCAAAACCAACAAGAAGAGCAGAAGATGGGGAGAAGTCAGCAAGCCACAAGGAGACAAAGGCAGAGATGGGAGCTGAAGAAGTCTTTAGTCAGTCCTTTCACACTTTGTTTCAGAATTTGACAATGAACAGGTAACTCTTAGGCCTCAACATACCTCTGCTGTCTAGCAAACAGCTACAAAACCCAGTGGAGAAAACCATGAGTGCTCATTCCCCTCACGTCCTACCTTTCAATGTTGCCATCTGCAACACTGAATTTCTTTTTTTTCAATGTAATAAAAAATCCGAACAGTAGCAGCATTAAAAGAGAATCAGATTTGACTGTTGGCCAAAGCACAGGAGGAATGCAAATAACCAACAAAAAGTCGACAACCTAGAAATTCTGGTCCCCTTACAGAATAACCGCAGTGTGGATATAAAATCTTCCTCGTATCAGTTACATACAGACTTTTTTGCCTATATAAATCTTAAACACCAATTATCCATGAAACTTAAACCTATCATAATTGGTGCTCTCTTACTCAAGGCAAGTTCTCAGGGAAAATTAGTGCTCAAATTGGCAAAATGTTCAAATACAAGCACTGATTATAACTCTGTTATTGAGATGAGCTTTTAGATGGCATATGACACATCCAGATTGGTTCAGTAAGAAAACAGGTTCAGGGTTGGATAGTAGCTGAGATTTTTTTTTTTTTTTTTTTTTTGGTTTTATGGCTAAGGATAGCCAGATGGATAAGGATTTTATTATAGGTATTGGCAAGTTAATGCTGCTGAAATCCTGACACATGACGTGTTGACTCAAAGTTGGAACATCAGATTTTCATCTACATCAAACTCAAGCAATTTTTGTGAGGCTGCAGCCTGGGTGCGCCACCGCAGCGTGTGCATTGCCTATCTCAGAGGAAGAAAACCCACAAACATTGGGGATCTTTCTGCCTGAAGTGATAAAGGTGAATGAAGAGCATCCACCACAGGAGAAGAGTCAGAATCCGTGACAGCTTTGGCGTGCACACACGTATGCTAAGCTCTGCTCATCTGCACGCCCTGCTCACGGGCAGGTCACAGAGCACTCTGCCCTTTCTGCATCATCCAGCCTGCAAAACTAGATTTTACTGTCAGTGCTCTTCTGCCTTCCAGCCCAGCCTCCTGACCAGGGAGAAGCACTCCAGTAATCCCTGAACCTTGTACTGTAGATTAACCCCAAATGCATATGTGATTTGTTGAAAATACCTGCATCACATTCATCAGTTAAGTTCCCGGTTTCCTAATTCAGGCATGAAAGCAGTGTTGGTTTGGAATGCCTGAACCAAAGCAATCTGGCTGAACTTGAGTAGTCTCCAACAGGGTCAGCCGCGGGTAACATTTATCTTTGTTTTTCATTTGTAGCATAGACAAAGGGAGCCATTTACATTCCTGTGAGATCTTGTCTCAGCAGTTTCCCTTTTGAGACTGTACAGTAAGGGAAAGAGCTAACTAATCTATTTGTGGCCTTCAAATACTACACCAGAAACTTCATGAGCATGGACAGGTGTCTGCCTGGGAAAGCTGGTCATCTAATTTTAGATATGCCAAGATGAACAGGAGGACAAAAAAAAAAAAGTTATAGAGAAAGGAGGATTAGCAAAGAAAGAATTCTGGCCAGTAAGAGAACTGAGTAACTCAAATCAGCATACATCCAAGCAGCATGACATTTAGATACAAACCCAAAAGATGAAGAACTTTACTACTAATATCACTTGATCTGCAGTGATTCAACATCTCCCTGGGGTTTGTCCTCTCATCAGAACAGGAATTCTTCCTAAATTTGGCCCTTCTTTCTTAGCCAGCCTCACATTAGACCTTTTCTAACAATATAGATTGCAGTTGCAGCAGTGGACACCAACTCTGAGTCACCACAGAAAGGTTGCCTGAGCCGAGCCAACTGCAGCAGTCAGCAAGGGAGGGGGGTGGTGGTGTGCGTGCTCAGAAAAATGAACAGAAAGCTGCTGCTTTTGAGCTATAGGAGAAAAGGTCAATGTTTTCCTGTCTAATCAGGAATCTGGGGCAGGAGACGCTGGAAATGAGGTAGGTTTTGGATGCTGCTTCCACCCGAAACAGGGATCAGCTTGGCTCGTGGTGCCTCCCAGCACTCAGCAGCCCAGCTGGAAGCCATAAGCAGCTATCAGCCCGGGGCTCATGACATCACTGTGGCACCAAGCACATTTTTCACATACTAAGACAGCACGGATACAGGCTGCTAGCCGAGGGAGTTTATTAAAGAGCCAAACTG